TTCATTAACTTACGTTTTTTTAATTTTAAAGGTATTGTTTACGACATTTCATCAACAACTTTTATGACAAGTTTCTTAATTCAGAATTCAAAGCTTTAGCTTATCGTGCCTGGAATCAGAATCAAATTCGAAAGTTCAACTCCATCATGGAAGAAAATTGGGAAGTTAAATCCACGTGCTCGACAATGGTTGGACAGTCATCCACTTAATAGATGGATACTTGCACATGATGATGGAAGGAGATATGGGTTGCTCACAACAAATTTGTCAGAGATTTTCAACAGTGTACTTAAAGGTGCTCGTTTCTTACCAATCACAGCTTGTGTGCAACTTACATTCTATAGAACAAGGTATATTCCTTAAGATCTTTTAACCGAGAAAAAGGTATATTTGAGTTGATAACTCAAAGAGGTCGAAATGTGCAAGTAGTTAATTTGGAACAAAAAACTTGCACATGTGGTAAATGGGAGGCATTTAGGTATCCTTGTTCTCATGTCTTGAGTGCATGTGCCAAACTCTCTTTGAATAGTTGGCAATATGTTGATAGATGTTACTCGATTGAATACTATTATGCTACTTGGGCATCTGAGTTCTCCCAGCTTCCTCATGAAGCGTATAGGCCACAATCACCATTTAATGAATTACTTCCAAATTTAGAACTATTACGAAAGAAAAAAGGTCATCCTCGTTCAACAAGACTAAAAAATGGTATGAATATTAAAGAAGGAAGAAATGTCAATCTTTGTGGAATTTATAGGCAACCGGGACATAATCGAAAACGATGTCCGTCTATGCGAAGGTAGTTTAAACAAAAATTATGGTATTTGTTGTGGTTATTCTGTTATTTTTTTTCTTTTTTTACAGGTAAGGATTTGTTACCGGTTCAAGGTCATGCTAATTGTGACGTTTTTCTTTTTGTAATAAACAATGTTGGAGTTTTCTTTTGTGGTGTTTTTTTTGTAAGAAACAATGTTGAGGTGTCTTTTTTTTTTTTACCTTAAAAACATTGTATGTGAATGTTGGAGTTTTTGCACCTTAAAATTTGATTATAGTGGTGGTTTTTGATGATTTTTTAATGTTGAGGCTAAAATTTGATGGTAAAAAGGTTGTATAAGAAAAACGGATATTAAAAAAAACCAGAAAAAAGAAGATAAAAAAAACTATTATTTAAAAAAACAGTAAAAAAAAGATAAAAAAAAAAACTAAAATGAAAGTTGTCATTTAAAAATATATATATATAAAAAACAATAAAAATGTGGAATAAACCAGAAAAAAAGAAAAATAAGATATTTAAAATTAAAAAAAAAAAACTAAAAAGGAAACTAAAAAGTAAAGAAAAATGAGAAAAATACTAAAATGGTAAATATTTTTGAAAGAACACTAAAATGGTAAACATTTTTTTTAACCACCCCATTATGGTCAAAAACTCCTCACTTCTAAAATCATTTTCAAATTAAACCCATAATTTACTAAACAACCCTCAATCTTCAAAAGTCTTTACAAATAAATCCAGAAATTACATTTTAACCCCCGAATAATCCAAATTATAACATTTGGCTCTCCGAAACCAACACCCCGCTAAATATTATGAATTTTTGGGCTACTATCCATTCATTAGTTTTTATCTATTTATTTATCTAATAAACAGGATGTTACAAACTCGACGAGTTGGACGGGGTTTGGAAAACCCTAATTTTTTGGGTATTGCACCATATTTAAAGGACTTAATAACTTCTAGGGATGGCCTCCCTACCAACCTCCTTGTCCAGAGAAACCCTAGATTCATATTCCATCTTGAATCTTGACTATGGTGAGCTTAAAATTATGGTTTTGGTGATTCCTTGGAAGGAGCTTGAAGGGTAGGAGCATTTGGGTTGGAAGAAGGAGTCTAGATCCAAAATCTCTTATTCAGAATCAGTCTCTTTGAGGTATAAAGTCGACACCCTTGCCTTATATCCATCTAGATCTCTTTTATCTTGAGTTTTGGGACCTTGGATGATTTGTCCAAAATGAAGAGATTTCCAGGGGTTGATGGAGTAGATCTGACCCCTAAATGACCTCTTGAGGCTTAAAGTTGCAAACTTTAATGACCTTCATGCCCCATGCTTGCCATATGTTCATCATGAAGCCTATAATGGATCTTAGAGAGTATTTCAAGCATGCATGGATGTAAAATTAGAAACTTTACGTGATTTGTCCACCTTGGGAGACCAGATCTGTGTTTTGGGACGTGGTAGTGAGGATTTAAGGGCTTAATGGGTCAAGACCCTCTTTAGAGAACCTAGGGTTTGAGTTAGAAGCTTAATGGGTGATTCTTGAGGGTAAAGTTGGAAACTTTACCCTTCTAGACATCATTTTGGAAGAGATATGAGGTTTGGTGTCCTTAGATTTAAGAGAAATGGCTTAATGCACTAAGTGGGCTGGCAGACTGAAGAACTCGACGAGTTCATGGGTGAACTCGACGAGTTGGTTTGGGATTATCCCGATCCTAATGAAAAGGGGGCAACTCGTCGAGTTGCAAGGAAACTCGACGAGTTGGATCGAGATATCACAATTATGTCTTTGAAGGGAACTCGACGAGTTGAAGTATATCTCGACGAGTTGGGTCAACTCGGAGCGTTGACTTTGACTTTGACTTTGTCTTTTGACTTTGGTAAAGTTAGTCCTAAGGGGTGCTTGGAGTAAACAAACTTATAATGAAGGAGATTATGGGCTTAGGGTAAGGCCGTAAGGAGTTGGGGCCCAATTTAGAAAATTGGGTCATTGATGGATTTATGGACATTATAGTGTTGGGCTTTTGTTTTGAGGCTTGGGCCTTAGTTTTGGATCATACCAGACCAGGGGTAGAATGGTCATTTTACCCCATGTATGGATTAAGTATTATAGCATGGAACCCAACTGCTAATTGGGAACATTTATTGATATTGATAGCTAGGGAAGCCAGCAGGGGCAGCAGCTAAGGATTTCATTCGGGGAGTTTCTGCATTCGAGGTGAGTCTCCTCACCATACCAATGGGTCGAAGGCACCTAGGCCGGCCCATTATGTGTTATGTGATATGTTAGTTGTTACGCTGATATGTGATATGCTAGTTGTCTCTGTGATACTTGCATGGAAGACCCCGGGGGAGCCAGTGACATTTGGATGTCAGACCATGTGGGGGAGCTCATGACATTCCAGGTAAAGACCATGTGGGGGAGCCCATGGAATTTCAGGTAAAGACCATGGGGGAGCCCATGGCACATAGGTATAAGACCTTGGGGGGAGCCCACAACATCCTGGAGTAAGACCCTAAAGGGAGTCCACGACATCCTTATATGTTTATATGCATAACTTATATGGTTTACATGGTTTATGTGGTTTATATGGATTTAGGTGGGGTATGTTATAGGGAACTCACTAAGCTTCGTGCTTACAGTTTTGTTTATGGTTTCAGGTATCATCGGTTTGGAAAGGAAGGGCCCGACTTGATCGCAGCGCATACACCCATGTTTTCCGCATTATGTGATTTTGGGATGTGACTCTGATAAATGTTTTTAATTAAATCATGTTTTTGAATGTTTGAAATAAGTAACATCTGTATTAGACCATAGAGAAAAATGGAATTTTTACCCTTGATTTTTGGGCTGTTACAAGTTGGTATCAGAGCATTGGTTTGAGGAATTCGGGCACACTCTCGGGTGTGTCTGAACTCAAACTGAGGACTTGGTATGAAAATTTTCAAAAGAAAAATCATTTTTATAAAAAGGATTTTTAAAAGAGAAAAGGGTGTGGTGCATGCAATCAGCCAAGCTCAAGTAAGTTCTCCCAAATTACCCATACATGTTTATATTATGATATAAATTGTGAATATGTGAACTGCATGCATGCTAGATTAGGGCTAAGGATCTAAGAAGGATGACTTTTTGTGCCTGACTGTATGAGCTTTAGAATTGCATGCTAGTATGGATTCTTGATAAGCGAGTAGAATTGCTTGATTGGTGTATGCTGGTTAGAATTTCCAATGCCTGAATGTTGCTTGCTTTGTGCTTTGTGGGGCTCTTAGCAATGTGAGTTAGCTACTAAGTGAATATGTTAAGTCACATGTGGCACATGCTGGATAATCTCAAAGTGATGGAATTGACCTTATTGCGCAGCTCTCGTATGAGTCCAACCGTTCTAGGGTTGAGTCTTTTACTCGAAGGATTATCTGATCTCTGTTGCATGTGGCTATATTCATGAGGAGTGTAATTGACATTGGTGGAAGTCTTTCAGCAGTTGAGGGTTGAGTGGGGTCGGTAACCTAGGGAAAGCCTAGGATGGGATTAGCGCTAGGAGCAGTGTTAATGAAAAGGACTTGGTGGAGTCAGATTTGATATTTGATGTTGAATGATGAAATGGGCGGGAAAAAAAGGAGTATATAGTTGGAGAGAATGCCATGTGACAATATGCTTGTCTATAAGAAGGACACATGACGTTTAGGAGAGGTTTTGATTAAGAATGAAGATCTGCTCCGGTTAGGGTTTCCGGTATTACACATTGTAAAACCAGGTACATATATATTCTTGTTACATTTGAGTAATGAAAAGAGTAATGTTTCACTATTTGTGAGAGTTTAATCTTGGAGCTAAAAAATACGTTGTAGTTTGATTGTATTTGTGTTGGAAGATCAAGTTGTAAAACAATTTTGGTTCAAAATCAATAAAATTTAAGTGTATTTCAATCAGTGTGTACTGAAGTGTATATCAGCACATTTAAACAAGTATTTAATTTTCTAAAGTTATATTCTAGAGCTTACAACTGCAAAAGATTTCAAAATATATTATTCATGTTGCAAATCTGCTCACATGGAATATATAGAGCATGGAACTTATTAGTCATCTTGATGGGGCAGGAGCTAAAAAGAATCAGAATCCATGCCCCTTTTCATAATCTACTAACTAGATCGAACATTGACTAGTCAAATTATTCACTCGCAGAAATACCTATACGATGATAATTAAAGAAACGCAAGAGGTTGATACTAGTTAATGTGATCTTTGAGTTTTGAGTTAAAACCCATGGGCTTTCTTGAGAGAGAGAGATGGACACCCGGGTCATGATGAGAAGTGGAGCAATTGTAGAGAATCGAATTGTTTACACCCTGTACGTTACTATTCATGACTGCACTCATGAGTGGCGATTTTGACTTCATTGCTTTTGACTTTCCATCTGAATTACTTCCTGACTTCTCTCCATCACTTAGTTGGCTAGCAGTAGGACTGTCTTTCTTCATGTGGAGTCTGTGTGGGTTGTCCCCAAAATTATGAGTCTTTTTGCCAAAAGGGCTCAACTCCATGATTGCTCCTTTGTTTTCTCCTGCAATTGTTATAATCCTCATTCCGCCATCCTCAGAATCCGAGTGCTTCTTAGAAGTTTCTGGTTTTTTAGAGTTACGAGTACCCCAATTACCCAAGTGTCTACGAATGTCGCCATTAAAACCCTTGTCCAGATTTTTAGGGATTTCTTTTGTTTCTTGTACGACCATGGTCTTCTGCTCGTATTCTGGCTTCAGCTGTGGTGAAGGGAGTGCCAAAGGAGACGGAGGGTGAGAAACAGGGTTGATTGGATTTGGAGGAGATGGAAGCGAGTTTTTTTCGTAGTGGTTTGCCGGATTTTGGAGGGGAGTATGTAGGCGTTGATGAACGAGGGATGGGTGGTGGTGAATATGATGGCTGAGGCGGTGGAGGTGGAGGTGATACATGGGGAGTTGGCACCGGTGAGGGAGATCGAGATTGTTGCATTGGTGAAGTGCTAGAGGTTGAAGATGAAGTCACCTTAGGTGACGGTGGTGGTGAAGCTCTGGCTGCTGGCGGTTGTGGTGGTGATGTTGGTGCTACACCATTAGCAGCAGGTAAGGTTGCGATAGGTCGTGGTGGAGATACAGCTGGTGGGGTTGTGGTGGTTTGTGTAGGAGGTACAGTTGGTGGTGCTCGAAATGTCTGAGAAAATGCTGGTCGCATGAATGCTGCTGGCCTTGGTGGTGGTGGTGGCGGGGCTTGATCAGGTTGTGGGGTTGGTGCTGTGGGAGCTGCTGCTGGTGGTGGTCGAACCATGGTTGCTAGGCGGAACCATGGACGGGATGGAGCTCCTTGCTGGGTAGCCATTGTAGCCGATGAAGAAATCTATGAGGCTGAGACAATATTTATAAACATTCGAAAAAAAAAAAACAACATGGAGTTACTCGTGAAATTGGAGGAAAGAATCAGATTCTGAGAGTTAGCCATTACTAATTAACGCATCAAGATTGGTATCTCATTGCATGATATTGGACGTACAAAGGGAAAAAGAGATGAAAAAAGAAGTTATATTCCATAAAGACATATGAGAGGTGAGCTTTGAGGCAACATCAAATGGTGACCGTTGGAGGTAATTGAATAAGAATTCTTTCTTTCTTTCTTTCTGCACACACTATTAATGACATATATACCAGCCTGGTTGAAGTTCGTTTCTCATATGTTTTTATTATTTTTGGTATGGTAACAAATTCTTTTTAAAGCGGAAGTTGAGATGACATTTATTTTGTAAAGGTGCAGTGAATAATATAGTTTTTGAGGGAGGAATAAATAAAAGTCAAGTATTCCTTGTTTAATTCCCACTGCACAACAAAAAAAGATATTCTTTTTTTCTAAAATTGAACAAGGGAGAATGGTATACAGCTTCATCTGTGAATCTTCTTTGCGTGATCAGATTTTTGCCAATAAAACACAAATGAATAGAGTTTTAAAGAATTGGTCTAGGGTCCAAGAATTAAAGTCGACAGTAAATACGTGACTATATATAATTATATGGGAATTATAAAGGGCTTGTAGCCCAGCGGTATCAGGTGGTGCCCTCCCTCTTTGAGGTCGAGGGTTCAAGTCCCGTCGTGGATATAGGTGGAATAGGTGTTGTTAGCTTAGAAGTAGATTAGATTGCCCTTGAACAGACACCAGTAGCTCCGATGGTTCCACCACCATCACCACAACGTCAGCATTAGTTGCTAACAACAGCTGCAAGATGCTTCCGCTTGGTACTCGATTACTTTTATCAAGGAGATAGACGATCCCATGGCAGTTGTGACATTTGGGTGAACGTATTGCTGATAGGATTAGTTCTTTTCAAGAAATGTTGCTAGTTCTCTGTTTTCTAATAGTAGTATTTTGGTTAAAATGTGAACGAATTAATACAAAAAATGATGCTGATTGATTAACTCGGAGATCTCTTTTAGATATGAAAAGTGAAGCGTAAGTAGTTCACTTAACCAATAAAAGGCGCATTTTGGCAAAGCTTCCAAAAGAGTTTGGATTTTAATTTTCTCTTTACATATATATAACAAGTCTATATCATTAAGCTAAAGCTAAGTTTTGATGATGAAGATCTGGAACACATGTTTACTCTAATGATTGATTCTTAAAGTATGGTGAAAGCTCTATCCTCAAGCTTTGGCGTCAATGATGAAAAGTTATGAGGCTGGGTCAAGTTTCTGAGTCAACTCGTATTTTTTTTTGGTGCTTCTTTGATGCTTCAACCACTACTAGAAAAAAGAGCAATAGCCTCTGCATGGTTCGCTTCCTATGTTGCTTCCCTGTTGCTGAGGTTCTTCTATTGTATAATCTTTATTATTTTTGGTGCTGCATTTTGAGTGGTCACCCTTTGTGAAAATGTCATTTTTGGTTTTCTTCTTCTTGCTTGTTTCTTTTGTTTCTCTTTCTTGTGTGTTTTATAGATATGTCAACACTATTGCACAATCATCGGGATTGTGTAGGACACTAAATCATGGCTTAACGGGGTCTATGGACCTTGCGTTGCGAAGCCGGACACTCAAAAAGATCACAAACGAAACCTCTCTCAATCTCATTCAAACCCTACTCAAGATTACTTGACGCTAATAGGATCAAAACCCATACACTACGATATAAATTGATGTTAATAGCAACATAGTATAGTACAACGTTATAACTATAATCAAATTAAATTATGATACCATATTAAAATCAAATCAAAGTATAATGCTCTAATTAAATTAAAAGAATCAAACTTGAATGCTATAATTAAACTTCAAATCAAAGTAGATTGTTATAATCAAATCATAACCTATCTTTTATAAAACTCCATTTTTATAAATTTTACATTAAATTTTATAAAACTCTATTTTTATAAACTTTACTTTAAATTTTATAAAACTCTTATATTAATTATGTAAAAGATGCTTGTGTTAGTGGGAAATTATGAAGACCACCAAAAGCAAAAAGATTATTCTCATGGTCTCCCACTCTCACCTCCCATCCACTTTCCTTTCCTTTTTCTCCCAACACATTATTCTCTTCACCACTTAAACCTTCTCTATTCTTTCTCTCACTCTCAATCTCGAAATTCATCTAAGAAATACTCATATTTCAGCCAAGAACAATCTATTATACTCAAATCTTCATCCCTCTTGAAGCATTCATCAAGGTATGTTGTTAAAAGTTTCAAATTCATACAAGAAACAAATTAAATCCACCAAAATATCTAAAACTCATTTTATGCATAAACTTGATTTTTCTCAGAATCCCATCAATAAAATAAGAAGTTCTTGAAATTTTCAGAAAATAACTTATTTTTATTGAATTACTATAATTATTGCAATAAAGTAGGGCAATAATTCACATAAAATACTTTTTGCATTCAATAAATTCTGAGAAAAATTCTGGGATGACCAATATATTGATTAAACATAATTTATGAAGTTTCATGCATTTATATTACTGTTTACTATTATTTATGATTTTATTGATTAATTAATAATGAAATATATAAAAAATACTTCCCATAGTCACAAATATCCGAAACTTATACACTGGGCTCTATATCATGTTATAAAACTATGGTTAATTTTACAGAATTTTTGGGAATCATTTATTATTTTCCCGAATTTTGTTGTTGTTTAATCATTAAAGTATTAAATAAATACTAAAACAGTTCAGAAAAATATAAAAATTTTACAGTAATTAATATTGTATGAAATAATGATTTCCTAATAATTTCATAATTTTTCAATATTGTGTACTATTTAAAACCATTTTCCTAAGTATTTAAGCATGTAAAAATGCATTTTAATGATTATTTCATATAAATAATTGTTAAAATCTGTAAATAATTATAATTGGGCAATTATTTTAATAAGAAATTATTAAAATCTGGCCTAAATTGAAAATATAAATTAATTATGCAAAGTAATTAATTCAATTTAAAATTCATTTAACAAATGAATACCTTAATATTATAATCAAAATGAATTATTGTTAATTCATCTAATATAAGAATATGTGTCTAATTATTTGTATTAGTACTCTATTCTCGTTTAGCAGTTCCTAAACCAAAACTATTAATTATATTAGGTTCTACGCCATTTTGACCCGAACCGTCTATCGTACGACACACACATTTCGTTTTGGGACTAAAGTGAGTAATCTACCCCATACTTTATAATTTTCAATACTTTTGGGGTGTATCATGTGGTTCTAATATGTTCCAACTTCATTTTATTGTTTTATCACAATTGAGACATTGTTGGGACATTTATACGTGAGTCGTTAATTGTATAACTATTGTTTGTTTACGCTACATGTACTTGTAGTGCATTATCATTTTTAGTCTAATCTCCATGACTATGCCCGTATTCTTGAGGTACGTTATGGACAATAATAGCGCTATTGGGTTGACCACCCCGCATTGGGACGCTAAGGTGATTGATCGCACGTGGTTGAGTGTGTATGATGATTAGCTGCTCCATCCTATATATATATATATATATTATATATATATATATATATATATATATATATATATATATATATATATATATATACATATGTATATATAGGGTGAGGACTTATTGTTGTTATCATTTGTTATCATTTAATCAATTTTTGATTTATAAACCGTTATATCAAATACAATTGTTTGCCGACTTCAAAAGAAAACAAATTTCCAATTATAAAGGTTTCAACTTCACAATTTTCTCTACTAAAATTAGATTACTCACCAACTCTCGTAGTTGACCTGTTTTTACCCATGATGCAGATTTGAAGAATGAAGTTGATGAAAAATAGGTTGTGCCTTAGAAATCCACAAGACTATTTAAATTTGATGTAATAAATGTTGTTCGTATTTGGATTTGTATTTGTATGTTGTGGATCTTGTTTGCATACTTAGTACTTAATTGAATATAATCATATTATAACATAGTTGTCATGAGACTTTGAACAATATATCACGCCTCGATCGATTCCGACAAGGATCGGGGTGTGACAGATCTTAGGCCCTATGCAAACACAAAAAAATGTATATTAAAATTAGGTTTATATAAAAAATTCCTAAATATATTAAAGTAGCAAAACATATTAAAAAATTGGGCCAGTATTGGAATCCAACTAAGGTGGATTAGTAAAACCAACTAAACTAATAATAGGATTGGTTCTTAATGTGCTCTATTTAACTTATATAATATAAATTACTCATAGAAAAAAAACAAATAACGTGGAGAAGAATCGAACACGGGTGTATAAACATTTAAGAGTTGCGCCGATAACCAACTGGACTAGAACAATTATGTTAAAAAAAGCGAATAACATTATATATAATATATATTTATTTAGTTAATAGCATGATTTTCGGGCCCTATTTTTTTCAGGGCCCTGTTCGGTCGAACATCTTGAACTCCCCTAGGGCCGGCCTTGCGGTACGATATAAGATCTATAATCTGATTCTCGAATGTGATATAAAAAATATAATAGGATCTGAGTAAAAATGAATGGTTGCATTATTACTATTATTTTTATGATTTTTGTCAATGTTCAGTAGTTTTTGCATTTTTGGTAAAAGATCTGAGGAAAAAATCAACCAATCTTGAATGGTAAATGACTTGGGTATCAAAAGTATTTTGATAGAAATCCTTGATGGGATGAGATTAGATGTAGCCATCTTTCCATGTTTTCAAGACATATGTAAATTAGCTTATCTGATTTAGTGCATTTTGTGAAACGATATTGCGTTACAATCCTCTCCATATTCGGCAAGAGCCAGCCCAGTAACTCAGGTTGTCCTGATAGTTTTTCTCAAGTTTACCGTCCCAACTTTGACT